CCAGGACATTGGGTAGGGACTTGAGACGTGACTCGAGAGGGGACTGGAGAGGAAACTCGAGAGGGGAACCAAGGGGGAACTAGAGAGGGGACTCGAGGAGAGACTAGAGGAGGGACTAGAGGAGGGACTAGAGGAGGGAACTCGAGAGGGAACTGGAGAGGGGAACTGGAGAGGGGACTCGAGAGGGGACTAAAGGAGGGACTAGAGATGGGACTAGAGATGGGACTAGGGAATTGACTAGAGGAGGGACTTGAGTAGGGACTAGAGATGGGACTAGAGGAGGGACTCGGGAAGGGACCAGAGAGGGGACTAGAGAAGTGACTGGAGAGGGGACTCGAGAGGAAACTTAAGATGGGACTGTGGCAGCTGGGGCCAGAGCTGGGTCTGGAACCATGGCTACGGGGGCCGGAATTGAAGCCAGAATCATGGCTGTAAGGTCCGGTTCTGGAGCCGGAAACATGGCTGTAAGGTCCGGTTCTGGAGCCGGAAACATGGCTGTAAGGTCCGGTTCTGGAGCCGGAAACATGGCTGTAAGGTCCGGTTCTGGAGCCGGAAACATGGCTGCTGGGGCCAGAACTGGGTCTGGAACCATGGCTGTGTGGACCGGTTCTGTAGCCGGAACCATGGCTACTCGGGCTGCTAGCCTGGCCTTGCGACGACTCCTCTTAGCAGCCGCCTGAATACTCCGTGGACCTCCATAAGCCAGCCGAGTTCCGGAATACAACTCCTGGACAGGAGCAGGAACTGGGGCAGAAGCACGGGCTGACTTCAGACGGAACAACGGAGACGTTTGTAGTCAGCAGGCTGGAAATCACACACCCAGAGGAAGTTCAAAATCCAGCCAGGTAAGAATTTCACCAAGTCTGGTTTCTCCATAGCCAACCGGTGCGCCTCTACCAGAGCGGCCTCCTTCTGCAGAACACTGGATGCTCCCTTCCACCAATCATAGCAGCAAGCCAATTAAAAGGAAAAATGTTGTAGTTCCATCTCAAAATGATCATCTGCTGGGTCCATTTTGGTCGGTTCGTAATGTTACGGTGTGTGAAGGAAGCAGGACCCAAATGCAGATCAAAGTGAAAATTCCTTTATTTCAAGGCTATAATGAAAACAGAACACTCACCGGAGACTTACTCACAACACAAGACGAACCGACACTGAACACAGGAAGAGACTAAATACAGGGAGGGGTAATCACAAGACGAGACACAGCCGGGCAGGGGAGGAGAACCACAAGGGCCACAGGTGAAAACAATCAGACAACTAGACACACCAGGGAAACTAACGACGGGAGGAAAAACACAGGGAAAAGGACCAGACAATATAACAAGAGGAAAACATGACAGGGAGAACAGAAAAACGCCCAAACCAAGACATAGAAAACGTGACATAACACAATAATCGTAACAATAATGTCGCATTATGTCTGACTTTTGGAGTCCGTCAGGACCGAGGGTCGGAGCAGCTCATTCAAACACAGGAAGCTGTATTTTCAAAATAAGAGTTCATTTGAATATTATATTTGATAATGTATTTGTATTAACTAGGCCACTGGGTCATGTTAAGGCAAGGCAAGTTTATTTATATAGCACCTTTCAACACAAGGCAATTCAAAGTGCTTTACAACAAACGAAAGACATTAAGAAAATGGCATTTAAAATGAGTCATTAAAAAGAAAAGCTAATAAAATAAACATTAAAAGAAAAAGTACATGGATAAAAGTTACAGTGCAGTCTAAGATATGAATAGTTCAATTAAAAGCAGCGGCAAAAAGAAAAGTCTTCAGCCTGGATTTAAAAGTAGTCAGAGTTGTAGCGGACCTGCAGGTTTCTGGGAGTTTGTTCCAGATATTTGGAGCATAATAACTGAACGCTGCTTTACCATGTTTAGTTCTGACTCTGGGGACAGAAAGCTGACCAGTCCCTGAAGACCTGAGAGATCTGGATGGTTCATAACTTAGCAGGAGGTCAGAAATGTTAAGAACATATTTTCTGTCAGTTTGATGTTACAAATATCAAAACAATATATGTGTCCATAACAAAATACATCCGTCATAAACTAAACTGGAAACGTATACTGGAAAGTATAATGTATTGTGTTAACACTGTAAACGTGACCGTTTTATAACCCGCACCGCCTAGTGGTTAAAGCACGTTATTGAATTTCTTTGTTGAATATGTTATATCTGATGAAAACATAACAATATTAAGATTACATACTTTCATAGGGGGAAAGTAGAAGGTCAATGATAGAAATATAGAATAGAACATATCAAGAAGATACTGTAAGTGATCTCTACAATAAAACAGTTTAGTGCCGGATGTCCAAAGATATGAATAGGAGGATGTGCAAAACAGACAAACAAATAAGGCTTTATTCAAACATTAAAGAATACTTTAGGTTAAGGTCTTCTTTTAAATAAGAAAACAGCTTTGGGGGTATCTACAGATAAATATTAAGCCTGACAAAGTACTTAACGTTTAAAATATTGCATAATTTGTTTTGGGACTTGACAATCACCTTTCCTGCAATGTTAACTATGTTGAAGCACTTATTTTAACTGATATTATACATAATAATTATACTCTTATAAGATGTATGTAGATAGAATAAGAAATGTGCAGAATATGATATTGATAGATGTCTTGTAATGCACTGTTGAGGAACCTGCGACCCAAGTTTTTCATCTCCGACCTTGTCAGGTATTGAACATTCAATAAATAAAGAACACAGAATTATTTAATATAAAACACAGAATTTGTGTGATTATACTAAATGATTTACAAATAAACACCACTGCATATTTACAACTTTTACACATGCTACTGCAATGAAAAAATGTTAAACTTGGGATCAATAAAGTATATCTTATCTTAAGATGACCGATGGCTACTTGTCACAGTCTGTCTGTGTTGTGTTTTGTCTGTCTCTGGTTTACTGTTTTATTTTGAATAGTGTTCACCCCCTGTCTTGTCTGTTGATTCCTGTCTCTGTGTTTGCCCTCCTGTGTCTGATGTCCTGATTGTGTTTACCTGGTGCCCCTGTGTTTTCTCCTCCCTCCGCACCTGTGTCTTGTTTGTGTGATTAGTCTTGTGTGCATTTAAGTTCTGGTTTTTCTGTCTGTCTTTGTTGGATTGTTGTTCGACCTGACTTTGTTCACTGGGAAGAGTTCTGTTGTTATATTAGCCTTGAAATAAAGGTATATATTTTTTAATTCTGCACTTGGGTCCTGCCTACTTCACTCTCCCTGACACTACTACCACATTTGCAAAATGTGCCTCTGATCCTTGACAAGTGCATGTTTCAAGGCTTATCAATGAACAACAGGAGGGCTCACAGACATAAGACCAGCTGTTAAATAAATGAAAAGCACATTTCTTTCCTCAAAGTCCTCGTGTTACAGAATTCAGCTGCAACAATGATCTGAATAATCAATCAGTTACGATCATTTTGATAGAAGAAAGAGAATGTAATGCTTTTCCTTGTTATATATGAATTTAATATGTTTAGGGGTTTTACTATTGAATGTTTTTGCTTGGCCGGTGGGAGATAATAATAACATGTTTGGCTTTTGTTGAATTTTGATCAAGATTAAATCACCAATAAAAAAAAAGACCTTTAATGAAATGTCATACAAAAATGTGTTTCTTTATTTGCATCCTAATTATAGTTTTTTTGTCTCACAATATCTTCAAATGAGTTATGTTGAAAACAGTAACAGGCCGTGCCTTTCACACCTAGGCCTTCAGTAGTGTCCACCTGAATGAATCCACCTCCTAATAGCATTATTATGACGTCACAGCTATAGAAACCATTAAGATGAAACATTAACGCAGTATAACAGGGCGCTGCATCACAGACAGGTTTCTAATGTAGCGAGAATGAATGCCATTACTAAAGCGAGACCACCGAACAACACAATTCAACAAGCCTCCTTTCACTGCTGCGCCGCACATCCTCTCTAGCAGAAGCAACAATATTTACTTAATAAAATGACAAGAAAATATCAACAATGTTAAATAAAAGTCATTATAGCCATTACTCACCAATACGTTTGATTATTTGTACCCAAAAACCTTCCTCCTTTCTTTCTTTCTGAAGAGTTCAGTTACTGTGTTGTTCAGATTACCTGAGTGTTTCAGTTCCAATAATAAGTCCTGTTCTAACGCCATGGAGGCTGATGCTGGAAGTCGAGTCAGTTCAGTCGTATTTCTGTCAAACACATTGTGGAATATAGGAATGAACAGAGTCCTGCTTCTGACACGGCTCAGTTCTCTTTATACATGAACCTTCCTAAGAACAATTCGACCTCAGCTCCATCCATCATGGTGCACTTTGTAATGGAGGGTATGTCCTCTTGTTGGGGGAAATCTTTGTTGAGAGATGTTTGGCCGGAATATATGCAAGATCCTGGATGACAAGACGTTTTTTTTTTTTTTAAATATAGGTAATGCCTTTTAGACTATAAAGTGATTTTTGAAAAGTGAGGTTTCAAAACATAAAGCTTTTTTAATTGTAAAGCTGCTCTAAACATTCTGAATGTGTCTCAGTTCATGTTGGTTTGCAGTAAACACCATCAGAGGGTGAACATGGACTCAAGCCTTTGCCGTGACAATAAAACCCTTTTGAGCAGCTACAACAAAGCGTTTGAAACAGGTATCCAGACACAAAGAAAATAAAGTTTGTGTAACATTAAAGCATGAACACATGTTTTACTAGAATACCCAAAGTATGAAGCTGGAAGTTAGAGCAATAATTCTTTCAATGGTTTTGTGATCTTTTAAATGTATTAGCTTGTAAGCTGTAAAGGTTTCTCATTATATGAAATGATCAGTGTTGTTTCAGACTTTTTGTATTGTTTTTGTTTATGGGCATGAATTTGGTTTTCCTGCTGTGCATCACCAGTCCTACGCCCACATTACTCTATTGGTCCTACCTTGTAAATGCATGTGCAAATGTAAGTGAATAAGCCTGATGTAAAAAAGGTGTCAGTTCCATATCCACTTTGCATTTGACCTAATGTATAATATAAACAGCTGCACATCTGCAGTCTCTGTCCAAAAGAGAGGAACAGGGAAGAGACAAGGATGGAAACAGTTCTTCTGATCATCATCGCTCTTTCAGGTCATTATTATTTTTATTTAAAATATATTATCCCATTAGCAATTTTTAGTACTTTCTATTTTGGTTTCCCTCTGACAATTACTTAAGTTCTTTAATTTACAGTTTAACTTTAATGTAATTTGGAGAAGTTGGTTCAGTAATTGATATTGAATCTAATCAAAGTGTCTGTGTCTCTGCAGGGCTGAGCGCTGTCTCCTCACATGCTGAACGTCAGTACCATTTTGTTTCTGAAGCAAAGACCATGTCTGAAGCACAGAGATACTGCAGAGAGAAACACACAGACCTGGCCACTGTAGACAGCATGGAGGTTGTGAAGCTCCTGAACGACATGGCAGGCCAATACAAACAAGTGAGGTCACTTTTCTCTGTCTTTCAATTCAAATGAATTACATTTCTTTTAGAGTTACATTTAAAAAGGAGAGATTATTACAGAAAGCTAAACCTGTTTTAAAGTCCTATGGGAACCTGAGTATTAAAACAGAGTTGAACATGTTTTAAGCCAAAGCTATAGCATGAAACCCTGTAATAAAGTGGAAGAGGTTCAGAGTAACAAGGCTGTGAATGAATGTTGACTTGAGGGGATTCCCTTTAGATCACCACGTACCAAGGCTGGTCTCATGAGGCAAACCTTCTCTTTATTAAACATACACATTTTCTTCAGCAGCAGCTTTAAAAGATTCAACAGGATGTAATCATTATAATATTTTCTTGCTTTCAGTCAGCCTGGATAGGGCTGCACGATGACCGGGACACCAGGAGGTGGTCGATGTCAGACCCAAGCTTCTACGGACCGGGGGAGACAGAGTTCAGACGATGGAGGACTGGGGAACCAAGCAACGGGCAAAATTACCAATGCACATTGCTTAATTCTGGTACATGGTTTAATTATGATTGTAATCACGCCCTCCAGGCGATCTGCTTTGATGTCACAGGTAAGAATATAAACTTTAAATTAATATTACACATTTAAAATCATATTTTAAGCTTCTGAAATACAATGCATTGGTCTTTATCTAACTAGCGGTTCCCAACCTTTTTTCTTTGTGACTTTTTTTTCTTTTGTTAGCAGTTCCACTAAAGACATTTCCCTTTTCACTAAAATTCTCACATGGTTTCATTTCAAAGATAATGTAAAAGGAAATGATATACAATATATATACAATTCTTTGCAAACTTGTTTCAGAATTGTAGTTACGTTTCACATCTTATACATCTGTGCTAAACAGAATAAGAACAATATAGAATCAATATAATTTGAATGAAGCTTTAACCTGTAACACAGTATCTTCACATCGTTGTACTTCTGCTTTTACTCAAATATCTGAATATTCCACCACTGATACTACTAAAGTTTCTTGCCAACATTCATCTTTTGAAAAACCCCAGAACTACAAATTACAAAGTACAAATGTGTGGGATTTAAATGTAATATTTTATGTTATAAAGGCATCAATACCACCAGAGATGTGGCATTGATGTCAGGCTGTATGTCGTGGTGCTTCTACTCAGCTTCTCTGGGGTCCATTTTCAGGGCCGAATGCAACATTTGTCATCACTAAGAGCTCAATGAACTGGACTGAGGCCCAGAGCTACTGCAGAGAACACCACACAGACCTGGCCAGTGTGAGAAACCTGACAGAGAACCAGCAGATTGTTGAGCTGGTACATGGAGGGTATTATTATTGGATCGGCCTTTACAGAGACTCCTGGAAGTGGTCCGATGGAAGCAACTCCTCCTTCAAGTACTGGAAAGTAAATGAACCTAACTACAGTGCTTCAAAGGTTTGTGTGGCTGCAGCTTTCAACAACTCTGGAAAATGGGAGGATGCGGACTGTGGAGTGGAGAAACCATTCATCTGCTACGGACGTGAGTAAAATTCACAGCTACGTCAAAGCAAGTGATGATATTGAGTCTGTTGAAAACGAAGACACCATAAACGTTGTGACTGATGAAGTTTGTTTGTGTTTCTAGCTGTTGTGCCTGTTTCAATGCAAGTGATAAAGGTGAGGGTGCAGAAACCAAACGGTGTGGATCTGAACGATCAAGCTTTTCTGGATGCGATGTTGGTGGAGGTAAATCATGTTTTCTACTTTTATGCAAAAACATCACCAGAAAGGAAATTCCCATGACATGAGAACAAGAGACGAAAGAGGTAGGAAACAAAGAACTATTAAAGAATAATGAATTCAACGAAAGAAAATGCAGTAAATGAATTTCAATACGAATGAAATGGACCAAGATGAGCATGAATGAAATTCTATATCCATTATCCATTCAATACTTTGGCCACAAATAACAGGACCCAAGCATTTAGTAAGAAGACGTGTAAATATGTGCAGAAGTAAATAGCAGAAACTTAGCCACATGCCACCAAATGCATTAGGAACATGTACAAATACTATTCCATAACCTGAGGTAAGCCTTTACACTGGAAGAAATAAGGGGAACAGCTACCATTTCAGATGAGTGAGCTAAAGAGAAATCATCTGTTTTTACTGGAACGATAATGATAATGAGTTTTTGTGTCTCAGGCGAAAAAGAACCTAAGGGCCCAGGGATTGGACGACAACGTCCAAGTGGCCTGGAGGAAGCAGCCGGATGGACAAGTCTTCCACGAGGAGGAGAAGAAGAAGAAGGATGAGCTCTAAAGCTGAATTGCTGAGTGTGATTTTTTCTGCAACAATGATCTGAATAATCAATCAGTAGCGAGATAAGATAAGAGTTGTAATGTTTTCTCTTGTTAGGCTTATCAATGAACAACAGGAGGGCTCACAGACATAAGACCAGCTGTTAAATAAATGAAAAGCATATTTCTTTCCTCAAAGTCCTCGTGTTACAGAATTCAGCTGCAACAATGATCTGAATAATCAATCAGTTACGATCATTTTGATAGAAGATTGAGAATGTGATGCTTTTCCTTGTTATATATGAATTTAATATGTTTAGGGGTTTTACTATTGAATGTATTTGCTTGGCCGGTGGGAGATAATAATAACATGTTTGGCTTTTGTTGAATTTTGATCAAGATTAAATTAATAATAAAAAAAGACCTTTAATGAAATTTCATACGAAAATGTGTTTCTTTATTTGCATCCTAATTATTGATTTTTTGTCTCACAATATCTTCAAATGAGTTATGTTGAAAACAGTAACAGGCCGTGCCTTTCACACCTAGGCCTTCAGTAGTGTCCACCTGAATGAATCCACCTCCTAATAGCATTATTATGACGTCACGGCTATAGAAACCATTAAGATGAAACATTAACGCAGTATAACAGGGCGCTGCATCACAGACAGGTTTCTAATGTAGCGAGAATGAATGCCATTACTAAAGCGAGACCACCGAACAACACAATTCAACAAGCCTCCTTTCACTGCTGCGCCGCACATCCTCTCTAGCAGAAGCAACAATATTTACTTAATAAAATGACAACAAAATATCAACAATGTTAAATAAAAGTCATTATAGCCATTACTCACCAATACGTTTGATTATTTGTTCCCAAAAACCTTCCTCCTTTCTTTCTTTCTGAAGAGTTCAGTTACTGTGTTGTTCAGATTACCTGAGTGTTTCAGTTCCAATAATAAGTCCTGTTCTAACGCCATGGAGGCTGATGCTGGAAGTCGAGTCAGTTCAGTCGTATTTCTGTCAAACACATTGTGGAATATAGGAATGAACAGAGTCTTGCTTCTGACACGGCTCAGTTCTCTTTATACATGAACCTTCCTAAGAACACTTCGACCTCAGCCCCATCCATCATGGTGCACTTTGTAATAGAGGGTTTGTCCTCTTGTTATCGTGTGCTATCCTTTACTCAATCTTTATTCTTCTTTATCCAACTTCCACCTTCAGGCATCCTATATCAACTCTCTGTCCTACAGCGCCCTCTGGCTACAGTAACAGGACACAACATGTCCCCTTTTCTTGAAGGAATAACCTCCTCCTGTATGTAACTTAGTCAAATGAAATATTGTAGTTAACACAGCATCCTGTAACTCAAGACAATGACATCAACATATTAAACCATAAAGTATTACTGGTTCTTAGTGCAAGACTTCAATGCAAACTCAGGTTACTCTTATAACATAGTATCTAAGTAACAGTGGCGAGCCGGCAGGGCCCTCTAAGATATTCTACAAAATAATATTAAAAAACATTAAAAATATATATTTTCTTTTCAATATTTTTTTTTAAACATTTTTTTAGTTATATTTTTCAGTAGTTTTACCAAAATAACTCAGAGGGCCGAGGGCCGAGGTATAAAAGGCACGGCTCGCCACTGGGTTCCAGCATCTCAAAAGTGAATATTTTCTGGATGTCTTAGTCTTTCGTGATGTATTCAACTTTAAACATTTAAAGCCAAAACAATCATTTAGAAAAGGACAAAAAACCAACAATAAAAAACACACTTTGAGCAGTAAATAGGTACATTTTGACATTCGACACTTTATTCACAAACTAAAACCAATCACTGTATCCAGGTCAGTGGTGACTGTACAGGCGTGTTAGGTCAGGATTAACTGGCTGTACATCGTGTGTCGTCGCTTCACCGTGAACCCTTTATTGGTCCATTCATCCCTCCATCCTCCAATCAAAGTGCTCAGCAGTTTGTCCTTCAGTGTGTGTGTGTGTGTGTGTGTGTGTGTGTGTGTGTGTGTGTGTGTGTGTGTCCATTTCAGAACCAGGACTCTGATCTGAAGTTTCTCAGCTGGTCCAGAACGGTTTCTAGTGCTCGTCTTTAGAAAACACACCTAAACATTTACAAATACATTCAAAACACAACCAGGAGGTTTTTTTCCTAGATAGTTGTTAGACAGCAAATAGCACCGCAGAGCAAATACTATGATCATTTGGGGTTAAAATAAAAAAAAATCTCTATAGACAGCAGACTGGCTGCACTCACACAGGAAGTAGAACTCACCCGGAAACACTTTTACACTGTTAGAAGGAAAATAACATCTATAGCGACGTGTGTTTCCTGTTCCTTAGATTAACATGTGGTCAAAATAGGATTTGATATATGATCTAAGACATAATAAATGTTTATCTGTGTATCCAAATCAAAGAGTTGCTGCTTTCTTTCTAGCGTGGAAACTCAGTGATCAAACAGACAGAAGTACATTACATATGAGCGGAACAGACCAGATGCGGTACAGAAAAGGTTCAAAACACACTACTTGCTGTATTTTCATGAATGTATTAACACTTGCGCCTACATTTATCAAAGTAGCAAAGGAGTATTTAATCCCTAAAGTCACATGTTTGTGTATTTAGTCCCCTCATTTTCATCATTCGTACCCAAACAATTACCCTTCACACCTGAATGTGTGCCCTTAACACAATAAACACTACATTATACCAACCGAAGTATCACCTTAAACTGACTAATGTGTATTAAATACAAAATCATGGTCGACTCTTGTCCACACAGAAAGTACTGATCAAGGTAACTCCAGAATAATCCAGCATGACATTCAGTAATAGCAGTATTTAAATTACTGACCACATGATTCAGTAACTTCA